GGCCTGAGCCGGAGGCTCTTAAATATGTATATATATATATATGTACATACATAAAGCCTACAGAAGCCTATATATACACATACATACATTTGTATCGTATCTTCCATATATATATATATGTACTTATATTTCCTCTTCTATCTCTGCTTACATGTATACTGTATACTGGTATTTATAAAACGCCAGTTAAAGCCTTTTTCAATTGCAAATATATACTTGATTGAAGGGGTATCGAATTCTCTGGTTAGAAGGCAAGCCTGAGCTTAAAATCTAACAAATACTCACATAGAGCTTTGCTGTTCATTACACCCTAGATGAACCCCAAGGTACCCATAATCCAGAACATCCATTATCCGTATTTAGATACAGGCATAAATTGTAAAGATCCAAATACAATTACGGATATATATATATATATACATATGTATATATATATATATATCTATGTATAGGTATGTAGATGTACATGTGTATACATGTATGTGTATGCATATGCATGATACATGTTTACAAGTTCATTTCTTGACTTACAGTTGAAACTGGACTCTTCGCGAGGGCGAGGCATAGAGGCGATGGCGACTCGGCGCTGGCCTCTTTGCCGGGCCTTCCGCGCCAACCTTTTTTGGGACCCTGGGGGGGGATTAGGGTTTTGGGTTCAGGTTTTTGGGCTGAAGGTGCCGGGGTTCCCACACCCCCAAGAAGGTAGGACCCCTAATTTGGGAGAGAGTAGAACCCCTAGTTTGGGAGCCCCTACTGCGAACCGGTACTTTATGGGAACCCCCCGCAAGGGATCTACTTCTTGGACCCTCCCAGGGGACAAGCCAGAGACCAAAAGACTCCTTACCGGCTTAGGGTTTAGGGTTTAGGGTTTAGGGTTTAGGGTTTAGGGTTTAGGTTTAAGGTGTAGGGCTTAAGGTTTTCCAAGGTCTTATTCGGGTTTAGAGCTTACAGTTTCCGGGGTATCGGGTTTCGGGGTATCGGGCTTTTAGAAGGGGTTTTCAATTTAGGGTTTGTACGTTGATAGGGCGTAGGGTATGCTTACAGGGCTTAGCGTTTCGTGATTTAGGATTTTGGGCTTCGGGTTTTAGGGTTTGGGGCTTAGGGCTTTAACGCTTAGGGCTTTGGGCTCCTCCTTTAGATTTCAGGGCTTTACGAAGGGTGTTTCAGCACAAAAATCAAGGGACTATGGGGCTCTTTGGGTTTTGAGAGCGTGTCGGGACTGGCTTTGGGGTTTACCCGTCTGGGGATGGAGATGCAGGAGCTGATGGGCATCGACGGCTTATGGGTAACAAGAACGGGAAGTTCTCTAGATGCAGGTCCTTTACTGCAGGGTCCTTTTTATAGGGGTGCCACACAGGTTTGGGGACCAAACAGAACACTACCGATTTACGGGTTCGGGTTTAAGGTCAAGAAGGCCTGAACTGCTTGGCTCAGGAAAATTTAGGTTGAGGCTGGGGATATGAAGTTTTATGTTTTCGGCAAAGCCACCTAGACCTCGCCCAGGACAGCCCCAGGGTTGAAAAGCAAACTGTTCGAAACAGTCGGACAAAAAGCCATCTAAACCTCGATGCTTTTCCACAGGACCCTCTCACCCAACATCAGTATTGGTTTTATCTACATAACGTGTACGTAACGCCCCCATCGTCCATGGTTTTCTAGTTGTCACGCTTCTCCTAAGCCCTAAACCCTAACCCAAAACGAAAGTTTCCGAAAGATGCTTCTGAAGGCACACCCAGTTTTGATTTGTGCATTGCTTCCCTGGGTCCCTCCGCTCGGCAAGGATCTCTGAAGATATACGGTCAGTTGATCTCAGCCAGGTAGCAAACTAATGTAGGGGCCTCAATAATTAGAATAGGGCTTTGGGCTATGTTATGCTGTAATTATAATAAGGAACCCCCCAAAATAATATAGGTAATTATTTAGGCCCCTATATTACCTTGCAAACCGTATATCACATCCTTCATGGAGCGCCGAAAGCAAGACGACATCTACAAATGCAGCAACAAGCAGCGGCTGGAATACCAAGTGCATCACCAATGCAGTGCGTCATGCAAGCCACAGGCCACCAATATAGGGGCCTATTAATTTTGGGGTATATGAAGGACTCCCCCCCCAAAAAAAATATGGTGAAATTATTTGGGCCCCTGTATTAGGTGCCTACGCAGCACACCCCACTTCCAGGCCAGGCTGTCTCGTCGGCCAGTTTGCAGTCAAGATCGCTCAACCCTTAACCTCAAAGGACTCATATTTGAAGGCTCTTGGGCCCAAAGACCCTACTATATAAGGCTTTTGGTCTATTTTGATGCTAAGGGCAAGAGTGTGGACTGACTAATTTTCCCAAAGCGCTCCCGACCCCTTAAGTAAAGAATAGACCTACATGAAATGAAGCGCCTCACATTTTTGGGCACTCATCTCAATTCAAGTCATTGGGTTTAGATTGCTTTAAGCTACATGCCCCCGGCCAGAGCCGCGAAATCAGCGCAGCCCTCCCCCGCCCTTGCACCCGCTCCCGAGGTTGCTGCACAGCAAACGCATCGGAGGAGGAATGATGCGGTCCTGTCAAGAGGCGCTGCGCAATCGGTCTTGACGGGGTCCGGGTGTACCGTTTAGGGTTTAGGGCGCCCTAAAGACTAAACCCTCCCTATAGTCTCCATTGTAGTTCGTTTTTGCGGATACCTTATAAAATCCTTAATATAAACTACAATGGAGACTAAACCCTAAGACATATCTTCTCAATGCGGCGCTGTGATTGAGGGCCACAGGCTGCGGCTGTTCAACCCTGCCTGGGGGGCCTGAACTTCCCAGACCTTCCTATATCCCGTAAATTCAGGACTATCCTATTCTTCTGGGGAAGGAATATCGGGTCTATAGGGGTGTAGAGTAGGGTTTATAGGAGTTTATAGTAGGGTTTAGGATCCCAGACCTTCCAATATCCCTTAGATTCAGGACTATGCCTTAAATCTCCTTAAATCAGATGAGGGGTCCGACTATAATTCATGTGGGTAGTTGTCAAAATTATGGTCCCTTTTTGGGTCCTTATTATAATACGGCACCTATAATTAGGGTACCCCAAAAGGGACCATAATTTTGACAACTACCCATGTATATTCCTTATGTTGGAAGGTCTGAGTTCTTCTGGGTTTGCCTAGCCTTAACCGCGTCTCACGAGCAGTGAAGCCTTTACTGAGGCCCCGCCACTTTGCGATGCACCCCTGAACCCTATGAAGTGTTCCGGTTTACGAAGTACCGTGACGTGAGTCAGTGACACCTTCTCAAGTCTGCTAGAAGCCCGTTCAGGGTAGGTTTAGGATGTTGGAGTAGAGGGTTAAGGGTTTGAGAGCGACACAGAGAGAGAGAGAGAGAAAGAGAGACGACAAGTGTACAGGTACAAGCATACATGCAACTAAACAGTTATGCCTCTGATTCTGGGATTCTTGATCACGCCTCGCACTGTTGCAAAGATCTTGCAAGATGCCGCTGTCGCGTTTTCTCTACACTTTCGGTGACGTACACATCCCAAACAGGTAAAACATGTGTGGGTCCTGAACTTGGTCGTGGGCGCACAGACACCGCAAAGGTTTGCGACAGCCTCGGTCTTCGACTGCGATCTAGCGACATCTAGCGTTTGTCGTTTGAAGTTGCAAGCTTTACATATAGATTTTGAGTTGCGGCGCGACTTCGTCCCAGACCTTCAAAACAGAGAAGGCGCTAAGCATGCAGACTTCCTAAGCGAGCTTGAAAGACAAGAATCTAAGACCTCTAATCCTACAGGCTCGAAAAGGACAAATACCTTGCTAGCTGCACCTTCTCTTCTTCTGAAGCCATAAGCAAGAAGCGGGAGTATCGACCATCCGTGTCTTGCAGACCTGGCCTTCAGAAAGTTGACACCTGGTGCAAGAGTTCTCAGGGCTGTATTTAGTATTTGAACCGCAATTAAGGCTGTTTCTGCTGTGACGAAGACTACGATACCGAAGAGAGGTTACCGGCAGCGCAACACCAACAGCGACAACAACAGGGAGACCAGGCACTGGCGCCACGACTACAACTACGACGACGACAATGACGACGACGACGACGCAGACTACTACCACGACGACTACTACTCTGCTGCTACTGCTACTGCTTCTAGACCTGCCATTTCCCCAAGCCCTACACCTTGAACAAATGCTCCAGAACTTGATCCCCGAAAGCTGCTGAGCCTCCCACTGCGCCCGTGTCATCGGGGGCAGATCAAACCTGCCCAGAATGCTTGTCAAATCCAGGTCTTGGGCTTGGGTGCTATTTAGGGTTTAGGGTTTAGGGTTAAGGGATTTAGGGTTTAGGGTTTAAGGTTTAAGGGTTCAGGTTTTAGGGTTGGGTTTAGGCCCCGGGGGTCTCAGCCTTCGACACTCTTTGGGATCCCGCTAGCCGAAACCTGCCCGCAGCAAAGCTGAAGGAGTTCGCCTAGAGCGAACCGATCGTGAGACTTGGACGAGCAGTCTCATGTCGAACCCGTTTGAACCAGGCGCTGATAACTTCTGCCAGCAGTTGCACGTCCAGGACCCGCAGAGTGCAACTTCAATCTAAAACCCCAAACCATATTGAACTCCATACCGCATGAAGCCTAAACCCTAAACCCTAAACCCTAAACCCAAAACCCTAAACCCTAAGCCTCAAACCTGTGAGCCCTAAGCTGTCGAGTTTAGAGCCCTCGGCTCTCGGGTAGCATCGCCCAAGCTCCGGTGCTCAATCCTCTTTAGGGTTTAGGGTTTAGGGTTTAGGGTTCTCAAATTCTCGGTTGCTCTTGGAAGCCCTTAAAAATACTCTGAGATACTCGTGCTGGTGCCTGAGTGGAGTTTCGCTCACTAAATCTGAATAGTAAACTTAAAAACCTACAACGTTTTAGACTTCCCCTGAACCCCCAATCCATCGAGACTAGCGTTCAAGGTTCCTTAGATGCTAAGCTATTAGGAGAGTTTTGCCGAAACACTAAACACTCCCAAAATCCTTCACCGTTCAGGGTTCAGGTCACTCCATGGATGCTTCAGAAGACACGCCCTGGCAAAAGCTTCGCAAGCCTAAATGACAACTGCGCACATGTGTTGTACAAGCAAAACATGCGCATGATCCATCTACACATATGTATATATATATATATATATATATTCTGTGTATACTTGTATACACACATATGTACAGACGTATGTGTATGTATGTCCGATGATACATGGATATGTTTTTGACGATATAAGTACAACCCACTGCGTATACGTATGCATATAATATATACACACATATATGCATGGGATGTGGGTTTAATGTTCGTTATCAGGGGGGGGGGGGGCGGGGGGCGTGGGAGCACGGCATGCTTCAACTGCCACGAACATCCGGTCACCTCCACGGGTGGGCCTGTCTCAACCCTAAACCCTAAACCCCTAAACCCTAAACCCAAGGTAAGGTACCTCTTCTCGTCCCGCCGTTTGCCGTGGGACAACCGATGGTATCGGTCCCTAACCCCCGAGGTACCTACTATATTACTATATAGGGTACTAGAGCCCCTAGGGCCCTATATAGTAGGCACTTGGGGGTTAGGGGATTTTGGAACAAAACATAAACCCCAAACCCGCGTCCGGGCTGTACACTGAACCGCAAACATCATTCCGTGGAGAGTCATAAAAGATCGAAATCGAAAACCGTCTCGACAAAAGCCTAACTAAGCAGGGGGATGCCAGATATGCCGCAGCTTAGAGTGCAAGGTTTATCCCTGACGGCTGCCTGTGTGTCGACAAGATGCGGAGGTATAACCAGAGCTGAAACACCGGAAAGCTGCGGAACGGCAACTCCTCGGTGGTCGAAGGTACCAGCATGTGGACTCCTAAAGGACGCTTGGAGGCCCGGGAAACTTAGTGAGTAGGTTATAAGTAGGGTTATAATTGGGGTAACTCCATTTAGGGTACTTATAACTCTAGTTATAACCTACTTACTAAGTTCCCCGGGCCTCCAAGCGGCGTCATTTCAACCCGTCTTCAATGCCCCGCCACTGCTAAGCTGCATCTTACATGGAGACAGCTCGCCCTACTCATCGCTGAGGCTTTGGCCAAAAGGAGGCTGCCCAGCTCCTGACGAAGGCCCAACAAGTGGACTTCGATTTGGTTTAGGGTTTAGGGTTTGGAATTGGCGATTTATGCCTTTGGCGCAAAGCTGGATGATGCTAAGCCGCTAAGCCTAAACTTTTCCTAAACACGAAACCCCAAAACTTTCAGCCCTAAACCCTAAACCGGCGCTGGGGCTGATTTCAGAAGCCGCAAGTCTCACAAAAGTCAGCCTGTTTAGCGACTTAGTACTTCGGGTCAAAATCGAGGGCGCAACAAGCCAAACCATCAGTTTCCCGACCTCAAGTTGATAGCAGCTGCAGCCTATTTTTTTTTAGGGTACAGGGTTTCGGGTTCAGGGTTCAGGGTTCAGGGTTTAGGGTTTAGGGTTCAGGGTTTAGGGTTTAGGGTTTAGGGTTTAGGGTGCAGCCTAACTTTTTGGGAGGGTTTATGCTCTCACATCTCGGACAAGCCAGGCGAGGTTCCAAAGAGTCGAGTCGGTGTGATACTAGTATAGGGAGCCCAATTCTTGAGGGTTTAAGGCTTATTAGGGTTTAGAGGGCCTAAATGCTACAACGTAGGAGCTATAAAGCTTAAGCGTCAAGAAACCGAGTGCTAGTTTAGGATATATATATATATATAATATGTATATATATATGTATGTATGTATGTATGTATGTATGTATGTATGTATGTATGTATGTATGTGTGTATGCGTGTATATATATATATATAGAGAGAGAGAGAGAGAGGTTTAGAGGTTGAGTAGGTACTAGTTCCTTTGTTGGGATACGTTGTCTCTTTGTTTTGGGGCCCTAACCGTAGAATTGGCTAAACGGTTTTAAACCCCAGAGAAGAACTACAAGGGCAAGTGCAGATACTTCCTACAGCTTTAAGCCCCTTGGGCTCTGAAGAGCGAAGATTAAGTCCCCAGCAGAGCCCATGTAAACCCTTAACCCACCAAAACATGGAAAACAACAGCTCCCAAGCAAAGCCCAGGTAAATCCTGAACCAGGAACCGTTCGAAATGAAAGCAACAAATAGATACCAAAGCCAAGCCCAGGCTAGCCCAAAACCTCGGTGAAGATCTCTTGCCGAAGCAGCTCTTCGAGCATCATGTGATAGGCCTCCGGGTCCTAAGCACTAAAGGGTTTAGGGTTTTGGGGGTTTTGGGGTTTACGGTTTAGGATTTAGGGGTTTATAGGGCCTCGGGTTTAGGGCATCATGTGACAGGCCTCCGAATCTCGAGCAGTAAAACATAAAGGCCCCATATAAGCCAAGAATGCCCCCTCAAAGCCAGAGATGTGGATGAAGGGCTTTTATATGGCTTACTAATTCGAACAGACTTGTGGGTGCAATACAGACAGTATATTACACTACAGTATAAGGGGATACTGCTAATCAGTACGTGGCCCCTAGATTACTGTAGGACTCAAGGCATGCGCAGCACCGGAATTACTTAGAGCCTGGCCCAGTATGGGAATCCGTAAGCCTAAACCCTAAACCCCTTTTTTTGAACCCAGGCTCTGCTCCCCTAAACCCTAAGCCCCTAAAACCTAAACCCTAATACCTAAATCCTCAGCCTGAACTAATGCTTGCACTCGGTCAGCAATTAAGGCCCCTGCGCGCAAAGCAGTTTCAAAGCTTCCAAAGCCGTTCCTTGCCAGCAGAAACCCCCAGCCCCGCAAAGGTTTAGGAGTTGGGAGTTACCTGGAGACCCTGGGCTCCCTACTATGATTTCTTTATCTAAGTCTTTCCCTAACCCCCCAGGTACCTACTATATAGGGTACTAGAGCCCCTAGGGCCCTAGATAGTAGGTACCTGGGGGGTTACGGTTTCAGAAGGTTGGTGATTTGGTCTAGGTAAGCCCTAAGCCGGCGAGACCTCGCGAATCCAGCTTTTGGTGTCCGGGGCGACGGACAAATTATAACTTTACCTATAGTCTCCATCGTAGTTCCTTTTTTGGGTTTAACCAATTACATATTAAGGAATCTATAAGGTATCCCCAAAAAGGGACTACAATGGAGACTATAGGTACAGCGAATCCCAGAAAGTTGGAAACCGGATGGAGGAAAGCATCCTATACCAACTTCCCAGCCTTTTGGACCAGCTCGAAAGAATGACCGGGATAACAGTTAACCGTTAACCCGAACCCCCCAGGTACGTGCTATATACGGCCTTAGAGGGGCTCTAGTACCCTATATAGTAGGTACCTGGGAGGTTAGGGTAAGGTATTATGTTTTGCGGTTTCGGCGCTCACACTCTGACTTTTATCTGGTTTAGGGTTTAAGTTCGGCGTTTGTTTATGCTAACACCAAATCTAGTAGCATGCTTTAGGGTTCGAGCCCGGGGATCTAGATTCAACGTGCAATTTCTGACTACTCAGGGTTCTGTAGACCCCTGACCCCGAAGCACATACAAGTTATCATGTCCTCTGCATTCCGCCGTCCTGCTCAAACCTCCAACCGTGAAGCCCAAACCTGCTTTGGGCAGAGACTCGAGGGCAAGCGAAGAGTTTTTCAATCCAAACCCTAAACCCTAAACGCCTAAGCCCCCAAATCCGAACCCCCAGACGCTGAAACCCTAACCTCCCAAACTCCTTTTGCAAATGGCCTGCTGCGACTCTGCCGGAACAGACACTCACCTCACCTCCTAAACCCTAAACCCTCAGCTCCAAACCTCCTAAACCCTAAACCGTCAAACCCCAACCTCCTCAACCTTAAACCCTCGGCTCTAAACCTAAACCCTAAACCCCTAAACCCCAATGCCCTAAAAGCGGAACCCTCAGCTCTAAACTCCTAAACCCTTAACCCTTAAACCCCAACCTCCTAAACCCTAAACCCTCAGCCCTAAACCCTTAAACCCAACCTGCGTAACCCTAAACCCTCAGCCCTAAACCTCCTGAACCCTACACCCTTCAACCCCAAGCTCCTTTTTGAACCCAGGCTCTGCCAATCAGCTGGGATCTAAGGACTTTAGGAGGGACCCCTAATAGGGACCTTTAATCGCATTACCTTAAATAACCATTGTCTAGTCCTTATATACCCCTTATACCCGCCCGTGTCCTACTCTCACCTTCACAGTTCGATGCCCCTTTCGGGCTCCACCCGGAATCTCCAGAGAAGCCCCACCCTTCAGGGTTTAGGGTTTAGGGTTTAGGTTTTTTTTGGTTTGGGGTTTAGGGTTTAGGGCACCCATCGGAATACTTCATTGGTGATAGCATTAATAATTTAACAGTGACAATACTAGTAATAACAACAAACATAGAATAACCGTCGTGATAATAAGAATAACCTTCGTCATAACAATAAAAATGTAAATAGCGCTAGCCACCACAATAATGGCAATAACAGCAATAGTAACAATGAAGCGGAGCGTCTCGAGGCTGACTGCTGCAATGGCCATGGCCTGTTGCAAGGCCAGTGGCAAGCACCTTCCAATTTTGAATTTCGGTTTATGATTTAGGGTTCGTATCATTGCCGAGCTATGACGAATGGCTCTGGCTGTTGCTATCCACACAACTACTACTATTCCAGCCCTGGTGCAATTCGTACACAGGCTCTTTGCAGCCGTTGGGGATACAATTTCCTCCGGTTCTCTCATTCAAGGCTTGAGGCCATGGGGTACATTAAATTGGCCATAAATGCTGAACCTGCAAGGATTGCGGCTTGTGCTCTAAAGTGTTTGCTGGCAGAAGGACCCTGGATTAGCAGGGGTAGTAATAAGTAGTCGTGCAAGCTCTCGCAGTAGCACTCGCAGTAGCAGTAGCAGGAGCAGCAGCATCAGGAGGAGTAGTGGTAAAATGTAAAGCATCTAACAGAGTGACCTCCCGCAACGAACGCGGAATCCGCAAGCTGCAAAGCCAATGGTAACTTGTTGATAGCTTGCTAGCTTTGGGGGATCCCTGCGGCTCCGTAATGTATGAGCCTGAATAATTAGAATAGGGTTTTGGGGATATGATATACTATAATTATAGTAAGGAACCCACCCAAAATTCTAGTATAGGTAACCATTAAGGCGCCTATATTATGTCGCCTACCGTGGTGCGGGGTCAACTCACCAAACCAAGGGTACCGCCTAAAATCCTGGAACCCGGGAGGCCCACGGGCACCATAAACCCTTCTTAAAACCTATAGGATTTAGGGATTAGGGTATAAGGTTTAGAGTTTAGGGATTAACTTTTAGGGTTTAGGGATTGTAGGAGTTGGGGATTAGGGTTTAGGGTTTATAACCCTAAAGCTCTACACACCGAAGCTTCAGCCAAGACGTACGGTGGGTCACAGCCAGGGCCTAACAGAGACATTCCGACGGCCTGCGGCCAAGATCCAAAGCTGCACGCAGCTGGGCGATGCTGCTGCTGCTGAAGCTCCTGTTCTCAAGGTTTAGGAGGGTTTGGTTTGTCGAACTGACGAATCACAGCAGGACGGAGACGACCTCTTGTCATATGTCAGAAGAGAAAAGCCCTGTGCGTTTCGCCATGTCCCTCGGTGAAAAACCCTAACCCCCGCAAGTACCTACTATATAGGGCCCTAGGGGTTCTAGTACCCTATATAGTAGGTACCTGGGGGCTTAGGGGAAACTCCGTGCACGTCTTTCTTACGAGTTCTGCGCGACTCATCCCGCAAACCCGAACCTCAGTCCTGTGCAGCAGCTCGGAGGCAACGGTGGAACCTTTCCGACTCACGAAAGTTGAACGGCGGGACTCGACAAAAGTAAAAAAATGACTCTGCAAATCGATCGTGATGTTTGCTTTGGCTTCGTCTCCGTACCTCGGCCATGGCAGCAAAAAACTCTGTTTGGGGGTCTAATGAGAGAAGAATAAGGTAATCAAAAGAGGGCAGTACAAGTCAGGACCTAGGTAGCGACGGTAGCTACATCCATATGGACATTGTGGGCCTCGTCTCTTTGGATCTCTTGATAATCTTCTCTCAATCCTCAACCAGAGGTCATCCTTCAGACAGCAATACATCTGATTTACCACATTGCCTCGTGCATTTGCCCTCGCTGTTCTGCAAAATCGCTGCTGAACCCTTTCATGACCTGAAGTCCTTCAAGCTGCAAATCCCGATACACTATCTGTCAGCTCATTCGAGACCCAAGCCCTAAACCCAAAACCCTAAGCCCTAAGCCCTAAACCCTAAACCCTGAACCCTAAACCCTAAACCCAAGCGCTAAACCCTAAACCCGAAACCCTAAACCCCAAGCGCCCCAGGCCCTGAGCCGAGATGCCAGCAGGAAGGAACTTGGGTTGTTCGCTGATGTCGTGCCACTGGAGCTCCGCAAGACTTCGCATGGTGGAAGCCCAGGGGTAAGCGTGACCTCAGGGATTTTGGGTGAAACCCTAACTTCCCTAAACCCTAAACCCTAAACCCTAAACCAACCAACCCTCAACCCAAACCGGAAGGGACCTCGAGGATTTTGGTGTTGCCTGCTGCATTACTCTGGAACCCCCCCGGGGCTGACAGGTTTATGACTTAAGAGCCCTAAGCCCTCCCCCCTAAACCCCCCAAAAAAACAAAGAGGATAAAGTTTAACGATTACCTACCCTACCCTACCACTGTGCTAGAACCTCAAATCTTAGAGCACGGGCTTCTCACCGTGTCCTCTTATTCTTCCTTCTACCGGCGAAGCCGATCTCATGCACAGCAAGAGTGAGAATGGACCCCTCGTTTCTGCAAGTCGGGTGTTTTCCTCAGACAGCTATCCCCATAGCTCGCAGATCTCATGCGCCGCTCGAGTCCGAAACACTTCTGACCCTGACCTGATATAGGGGCCTTCATATGCCTTCATCATTAGAAATGAGGCTTTGGGAGTTCTTTCTCTTCTTAAAGTCAGTATAATGAAGCAGGGACCCAAAGAACATTTTTGGGTTACTCAGGCTTCTGCCTTATACTCCCTGCAGGCCTTGGCAAAGGCCTTCTCGAAGAAGGAAGCGCTCCTTTGGATTGGAATGCAAGTCTCTCTACTAGCAGACAAGAATTTATTTTGGGAGCAAAGCTTGCCACCCCTTGACAACGAGGATCAGTGTCTAGGCAGCAGAGTTGCAAAGCAGGGTTTGGCAGAAAGCCCAATATCCCAACTTTGAGTGAACGTTCCTTAGACTGTATAATAATATCAAATCATATCTAGACCCTTGTTCACCCTTGATTGCCGGGGCCAGAGGGTCATATGGGGTTTCTCAGCGGTAAGCGTTCCTCTAGGGCCCCTAGAATGCGTAAGGATCAGATCTTTCCGGGGTCTCTATTTGGCGTTCCCGGTTTCCTGAAGATTCGGTTCAAGTAAGGTCTAATACCACAAACCCTACATCTCAGGGCTCAGGGCTTAGGGCCCTAAACTTTAGACCGTGTCGATGGAGCACGTCTGGAAAGACGGGATGGAGCGCAAGCTGCTGTTATGGCGTCCCTTACAACACCCCTCCCCCCCAAACCCTAAACCCTAAACCCTCCGGCCTAAGCCGGAAACCGATGACCCCCAAACCCCCAACACCGCACCTAAACGCCAAACTTCTCGAATCTTAAGGTTTAAGGGTCCTAAGTACCTAAGTGAGGGATACTTACTCAAACTAAAAACAAAAATTCCATACACCTGGGCTGCGCCTATGCCAGGAGCCGCGGGATCGACCCATGAGCCCAGAACCACGACACCCTAAGCCCTAAACCACACCCCTAAACCTTAGGCCCTAAACCCCTATAAACCCCCACACCCCTACTAAACCCCACTCCTAAGAGAAAAGCGGTCCAGGGAAGCGAAAAAGTCCAGAACTGGCCAGCGAACGGCTGCCAGAACGAAAAGCTGGGCAGGGTTCAGGGTTTAGGGTTCAGGCTTTAGGGCTCAGGGTTTAGAGTTTAGGGTTGAGGGTTCAGGGTTTAGGGAGTTTCGACTCACACACTGGCATGGCAAGAGAAGGTCCCGAGCTTGCTTTAGGGAGTTTAGGGTTCAGGGTTCGGGGTTTAGGGTTTAGGGTTCGGGGTTTGGGGTTTAGGGTTCAGGGCTTCTAAAGCGTTTAGGGGGTTAGGGTTTCAGCACTCGCAGCTCGGGCTAAGGGCTTCGAGGGAAAAGTTGTCTGCCGTTTGGGAATCTACGGAGGCTTGAAACGGCTTTCTGGCGCTTCCAAAAGGCTTACAAGGGTTTTCTGGGCAGCGACGCTAGTCTGTGTGTCGGACAACGGAAAGGACAAAAGGGCCGAGGATTTAGCCATGTTTGGGGCTTAGGGCTTATGTTGAAGATGCATGAGTGATAGTGTCGTGATTGCCAGGAGCCGCAATTTGCGCTATCGGCTAGGGCTTCCTGTTACAATGCGCGTTGCATGGCTTCGTACGTGCCAGTTTGGAACTTGAGTTCGGCTAGTGAGTCCTTAGCAAGTGATGCCGCAATCTGCATACAGTTCCCGAGCGCGATTGCAGATCCGGTTGTCAAGTTTTCAAGCCTGTGGATCCCGGACATCACAGAGGGATTACATAGGGTGCTGAAGAATTAGAATACCGCTGTTCCTTGCATTTCTTGCGGTATATCATACATAAACCCTAAACCCGAAACCCTAAAACCCTAGAGCCCTAAACCCTAAACACTAAAGCCTCAACTCTAACCCCTAAACCCTGAACCCTCAACCCTAAACCCATGAACCCTAAACCCTGAACCCAAATTCAGGAACCCGAAGTTATCCTTCCGATCGCCCTTTCTGTAGCCAGAAAGACCTACCATCTTACGGAATTGAACCAAGAAACCCGGGGAAGGCACTCCAAAGGCAGGCCATAATGGAGCCCCCTGTTAAAGACAAAACAGCACCCCTTAATATAGGGGCCTAAATAGTTACCCATACTCTTTTTGTTTTTTTTTTTTTGGGGGGGGGGCTCCTTATTCTAACTATGGTATAATGGGCCCCAAGACCTTGTTCTAATTATTACGGCCATTATACTACATTGAAGAATGTAGTTCGTATAAGTCTTCTTTCATGAGATTTCTTCAATGGGCTTGTTTGGGGTCCACAGGGTTTCGAACTGCTGGGGCTTTTGCGTGCGTCGTAAACTCCGTCGTCATGTGGCCAATCCAAGGCATAGGGTTTAGGGTTTAGGGTTTAAGGTTTAGGGTTTAGGGTTTAGGGTTCTTGCGCCAGTGGAAAGGCAACATACTTCACGAATTTCATCCTGTGATCCACCCCGCTGAAGCGAGAGCTCCACAGCGTGCCTGAAACCCTGCCTGGGGTTAGGGGAATCAGGCCTTCCTGTGCATTGATGTGCCATGATGTACAGTACACCCCACAACATCCCACAACCCCTTGCTATCATCATGAAGGCTCCTATATAAACTGTTCGCCGTAGGTTTTCCTCGGCCCTCACACCTTATCAGCTGGGCGCAGGGCAAAGAGCCAAGGTTTTGGAATTGCTTTTAGCAGAGCCTGGTCGCAGAAGAAGAAACGGCTTGGCTCGGGTAGGTTCGGGGATGGTGGCTGGTTCAGGGTTTAGGATTTTGGGCTTGGGGTTTCGGGGTTTAGGGTTTATAGGGCTTAATCTCCCAAGAATACAATGTGAAGCCCTTACACCCTGAGGTTCTAAGCTACAGAGCCGCGCCGCCTCACTCACACCCCAGGCCCAATACCCAGCCCCTTTAATCCTGAACAACACCGACACCAAACCCTACGAAACGCAGGTAATATGCCCAAAACACCCGAAAAGCAAGCAACACATTGAGCCTTGATTCCGGTTTGGTCTTCGACCCCATGAACTTTTTGAAGCAAGCCTTATGTTGTGCCAGCGTTTAGGGTTTAGGGTTTAAGGATTTGCTAGGGAGCCTCATAGTTGACCCTAGTTCATCCTAATTCATAGGATCCTCCTCATACGGACCTCGAAGTACGGCACCCCTAGCTTCTAGAACCACCCGCCCTGGTAATATCAAAAACTTCTACGGCCATAAACACACGACCCCTTAGTGTCAGAAAGAATAAACCTCGACGCAAAAGAAACACTCTCAAGCCCATAAACCCTAAACCCCAAACCCTAAGGTAATCCTCGGTTTCCCGTTGGAGAACAGGGCTTCTACTACAACACAACAACCCTAAACCCAAAACGAAGGAATGGACGGTTTACATTTTAGGATTCCCCTGAAAGCCCTTAAACCTGACAGGACGCCTACCACACGGGCTTCCATGCTTGATGTTCGCACACATGACCCTCACAAGACCCTACAACAGCCCCCCCCCCCATATATATATATATTACCAACCTTACAAATGCTATAACAAGCCCTGAAAAAAGCTCTGATGAACCCCAAAAGGCCCAATTAACCGCGAGAAAAATGCCCGTGCCTGTACCGCTGCTTTGGCGGCAGACCTAAACGTGTCCTCCGGAGAAAAGCAAGCTTCAAATATTGATCCTCTGGTGCTGTTGCATGATAAACAGGCTTTCTCTGCAGACCCTAGGATCTGGTTACGGTTTATAGGGTTCTGGGTTTAGGTTTGTGGGTTCGTAAGTGAAGTTTCGCAGGTTTCAGCTAGG